CTCTCTCCCTCTGCTCCTCTTTCCTTTCCTCTCTCACTATTGTTGGATCCAGGGGTCTTGTACATATTAGGCAGGTGCTTGGCCGCTCAGCCACACACACCAGCCCTGGCTTAGTCCATGTCCTGTGTCCATTTGTCCACCCCAGGCTCTCTGTCCGGCTCTTCCAGGGTGGGCAGGGAAGAATTGCTGGCTGGCCACGGGGTCCCAGAAGAACAGAGGTTCTGCTTCTGCTGAACCTTCCAGCAGGTCTCCTCTGCCTCTGGTGAGGTGGTCTTGGCCTGGAGGCCGGGTGGGTGACGAGTCTGGGTGTGAGCCCTAGGGGACTCTGTAAGCAGAGCCACATGACAGGAGAGTGAGGTCTCTAAGGACCTCCCTGCAGCAAATACTGCACCCCAATAGAATCATCCCTGGAAACCCAGGAGCTGACAGCMCTACAGGGTGGGAAGAGGCCCCGCCCCCAGCCCCGCCCCACCCCGCCTCCCAGGGCCCCCCGGCCCTGCCCTCGCCTCTGGAGCCCCGCCCCAAGCCCCACCCCCACCCTCCTGGCCAGCTTTCCTTTCAGGGTGGGAGCTGGGAACTTTTTRTGATATCCCAGAAAAAGTCACTGGGAATTAGCACTTCTGTTTTCTGGAGCACACATGTCCCAAAGCTCGGGATCATTGGAGAGTGCACCTGAGAACCACCCCGTAAGGTCACTCTCACCCCTGATGCAGCATGCCAGACAAAACCTCTTCTCCCTCTAGAATTCCTATAGGTCTGAACAAGTGGAAGGTGACTGCAAGGTGACACTGCTGTGTGTTGGCCACCCATGCAGTTCGCTGGGGCAGGGCACCAGTCAGGACAGCCTGAATTCTGCTGCATTAACAACCAACCCCAGACCCTGGGGGCTTCCACCAGCTCCGGTCCATAGCCCCCACCCAGCGGTGGACAGTCACTTCCACTCACACCCCTTCCAGGGCCGTGCTTCCCCCGGTTGCCAGGGGAGGGAAGGATGTGTTAGTCTGGAGCAGGGTGCCTGCTGGTTTCTGGCTGGCTTCCCGGGGCTTCGGGGCCAGTTCCCCATGACCCTTTCCCTTGCACTGCTGCCTGCCAAGCCATGYTATGGCTTCAGGGCCATGTGGCCACACGCAGGGTCCCCTCGCTGGACCCGATGTCCCAGCAGGGAGACGCTGCTGCTGTCCTAGGTGCCATCAGCYGTCACCTGCCCAGGGGAGCTCTGGGGCTCTGCCAGATGCCTTTCTAGGGATGCTTTCAGGTCACTTTATATCCCCGGGTCCTTCCTCACTCAGGAGCTGTCCCCGAGGTGTGGCCCGACAGAGGCTGGTCGGAGATAGCAGGGCACCCACCCTGTCCTGGTGCTAGCAGAGACCCTGGGGGAGGGTCTTCAGTTAGATCGCCTCTGGGTCTAACTGAAGGGGACACTGAGGCCACCGTGGGTCAAGCCCTCAGTGCCCCTTCCCAGCAGCCAGGACGGGGCTCCCTGCCCCCAGCCCGGGAGGGTGGTCAGGCCGAGCCCCGTTGTCCTCCAGTAGGGCTCTTGTCCAAAGTGCTTTCCAGCAGTCAACTTGACCCTTTGGCTAATTAGGACTCTTGGTCATAGTGACAGCAAAATCTAACTTACCCTGGTGTGAACCAAAAGGAAATTGTCCTCTGGCTTCAGGTACAGCTTGGTTCAGGGGCTCTGGCCATGTTACCAGGGTCCAGTCTGTCCTCTGAGAGCAGGCTCTGTTCTTGAGGGAGTTTCCTACTCCTGGTGGCAAAAGGGCTGCCGTGCCACTGAGACTCACAGTCCCATTCTAAGCCAAGGAAAGGGGAAGCATGTCTGTGGGGGCTCCCACTAAAGCCCTTTGACTGGAGCCCCTGCCATGAGCTACAGACCCCCTTTATAGCCAGGCTGCATGGCTCAGGGCCAGTGGTGGGCTCAGACTAGCTGTGGACAAGACGAGCTGTGTGGGCCCCCCGTGGCCCCCACAGCTGAGGTGGAAGAGGAAGGTGCCCAGGGAGCAGGTGCCACAGGCTTGTCTCATCTCCTCTCCTTTCCCTGACTATGGTCAGGTCACGAGAGTGCCCCTGGACACTACCCTGCGGTTGGTGACTATTCCCCGCTCTCAGGGGGCAAGCCGGAGCTGCTGTCCGCCAACCCCACCTTCCTGTCGCCATCGGGGAGCCCAAGATGCAGATTTGAGTCAGACGTGAGTCTTCCTGCCAGGCACCTGGCGCTGGGCCTCTGTGCATGGGGGCCCTGTCCATCCTGCCCAGTCCCACCTTGTCCTTCCACCCATCTTCCTTCTCCTGCCTCCCCTGGGTCCTTCCCTCACTGCAGCTAATCCCTGGAGCCTGTCCTCACTGCTGGCTAGGGGTGGCCTAGACAGCTCACTGATGGCTAGGGGTAGCCTGTGAGGGCCACTTTGGGCACACAGCTGAGGCCTGGTCTCTGTGATGGCCCCTGAGGCCGGGACTCACAGTGTCCAGCCAGCCTGCAGAGAGCAGTTCACAAGAGAGAGTGGGCCGCCCAGCGACGGGGCAGGGAGAGGCTCGTCCAGCCCAGGGAAGGGCCTGCTTGGAGGGAGCCGGACACTTGTGTGCATGACAAGGGGTTCTGACGGGTTGAACTGGGGCTGGGAGGTGGGCAGTGTGTCGCGGCCTGGGCACCAGGACAGTGTGGGTTTGTCTGGTTGAAGGCAGGGGTGACGTGGCCACCTGCTTCTACCTGGAGAGTGTTCAGGGAGATGAGGAGCCTGACCTCCAGGGGAAGGCCACTCCTGCTCCMGCCCCTGGGGCTGTCACTATGGTGTAAGGGACCATGGCTTCCTCAGGGGATGGCAGAGTCAGGGCTGCAGGACAGGGCGTCCCCTCCCCTCCCTGTTGTCCCCTCCTTGGGCACCATCAAACACAGAGGTGCCACCTCCGGAGGGCAGAGGACACAGGTACTCGTCTGTGCTTCAGCGAGCCACCCACCCAGCATGGCCAGGATTGCAGTCTGGGTCCTGAAGAGGCCCCTCAGGGCTTTCCTGGGGTTGGGCCTGGGCTCTGTGTAGATGTCCATTCTGGGTTCACACACGAGGCTGAGCATGTGGGGCTGCCCACCTGTGGGTGTCCAGTCTGGGTCCATCTTTCCAAAAGTCCATGGCGGCTGTGGAATGGCTTYCTGGGTGTCCCGGCACACAGGTGAGGCCTGCAGCCCGCTGACCAGGCCCCCTGTCTCCGACAGATGGACCATGAACAGAACTCCAACACCTCGAAGCAGAGATACTCGGGCAAGGTCCACCTGTGTGTGGCCCGCTACAGGTAGGAGCTGGCTGCAGTCTCCTTTCCTCACAGGGCCTTTCCGGTTGTTTTAAGTCAGTCTTTGCAATAGGAGACCCCGGGGGCACCTGACTTTGTCTCACTCTGGCCACAACTCTGACTGAAGTTGACCCCTATGTGCTGAGGACCTGAAGGTGTGACRCCCACCCTCCCAGGCTGGGCGAGGACAGGAAGCTGGTGCAACTGACCATGTGGTTGGCAGTCACATCCCAGATTGGAATAACGCCCAGATCTAATCCAGGAGATTAGAGAGGTGTGTGCAGCAGGATTAGCCAGGCACACACTGACCCTTGTAGAAAGTTAGAGGCCACACTGATGCCCAACTTCAGGGAACTGGCTAAGTAAACCCTGCCAACCCTTGTAGAAAGTTAGAGGCCACACTGATGCCCAACTTCAGGGAACTGGCTAAGTAAACCCTGCCAAGCTGCTTGGTGGAATACTGCACATCCACTAAAAAGGCTAAGGCAGTGTTTCCCGAGCACTATGCTGTGTTACAAGGTGACAAGTAGGTGGATCGTGAAGTAGTATGTGATAGGATCCGCCTTAGTGTGATTACATATATTTAAAGCTTGTAAGGTTCATTTCTTCCTATTGCCTTATTAATATGGAGCTGTGTAGTTATGGTGGAAGGGCGATGGGACGATGTCAGACCATCACACTTCTGTCTTCATCTTCCCATGGTCTGTGTGAATGAGCCTGTGTGCCTGGCAGGCGAAGCCTGGGCTGGGCGCAGGGCTGTGCTTCTCAGGCAGGAGCAGGAGGGTCGTGAACTGAATTCTGTCTCTCSCTCCAGTTATAATCCCTTCGATGGGCCGAATGAAAACCCGGAGGCCGAGCTGCCCCTCACGGCGGGGAAGTACCTCTACGTGTACGGGGACATGGATGAGGACGGGTTCTACGAAGGTCTCTGTTGGCACCAGGTTGCTGTTGGGGAGCCTGGCCAGTCCACCCCAGGCCAGCGCTCCTGGGCTGGCAGCCGGCAGGCCCCGGTCACTGCTGGCTGCCGAGCCGCTGCTCTGTCCCTGTGGGGYCTGAGTCCTCGGGTTCCCTTCAGGACAGGAAGGCTGGGAGGGGAGCCGGGTTCCCACCCGGGCAGAGGCTGGTGCTCAGTGGATCTTCAGGATGCTCAACTCTGCAGGGCTGTCTGGCAGTCATGTGTCCACCCCGGGACTGACCGGCCTCTGCCCATGGTCATCCCTTGGCACCCACAGGAACAGGTCCCAGGACTCCCAAGGATACAAAGTGGGCAGACGCCCAGGTCCCTCACAGGAAGGGGCACTATTGCTTAGAGCATACGCGCATCCTCGTTGCCCTCCCAAGTCCCCGCAGGTGCCCACGGTGCCTTCCACCTCACCAGTGTCCTGGGCAGTCACTGACAGCGCCTTGCAGGCAGTGGCAAAGAGAAGACTGCACTTGTCCAGGACGGGACAGTCCCCTCCTATTCTACCTGCAGCTGGTTGGGTCTGTGGTTGTGGAACCTGTGGACACAGAGGGCTGACTGTGCTTCCAGGGATCCCTCCTCCCTCATCCTCCTGCCCCCCAGCCCCCAGGCTGCATCCTCTGGTGTGGCCAGGACCATCTAGGTGACCTCACTGAGAGTGGCTCCCAGCACCTGCAGAGGTGGCCCACCCATCCTGAGGCTGTCATGGCCCCAGGGGGTCTGGCCCATTCCCGGGAAGATTGCTCCCTTTCACACCACCCTCCCGCCTCTAGTTTGGGATCAGGCACTGTGAGCTGTCTACCCAAAGGACCTCCCTTGTTTAGCTTGAGGACACACAGGACACCCCACAGTTCCGTGAGTAGCTTTCTGCTGTAGACATGAGCCTTCTAGTCCCTGAACCACCCACTGTCCTGCACGGAGGGCCTGGGTCTGCCCTATCTAGTCCCTGAACCACCCACTGCCCCCCATGGGGGGCCTGGGTCTGCCCTGTCCCCCTGGGCAGGAGGAGTTCGTCTTGTTAAACCACGAGTTTTCTCTTGCATGGCCTTGCAGGGTCTCCCTAGAGCAGGTCGGAGCTCCCAGGTTCATTTCTGGCACTCGCTGGCCAGAGGCCAGGCCATCAGTGGACATGTGAGCACCCCTGGCAGGCAGCGACACGTTTGCCATGAGCCGATTGCGATGCAGGGCTATGGCTCTGGAGGCCCCGAGTCACACCCCAGGGTGGACATGTCCACCCTGACCCAACGGAGCTCTGCCATCACTCGCTGCTCTGTGGCCACGAAGACTCTTCAGAGGGCTGGCTCAGGGCAGGTTGAGGAACTCAGGGAGCCACGGTCAGGGTGGCAGGGGGACCTGCTTCCCTTCTGGGCCTTAGTTTCCTCTGCTGCAGGGTACCTACTCCTTAGGGTAGCTGTGAGGATGAATGAAGTGGCAGATATCAGGTGCTTATGATAGAGCCTGGCCCAGAGTAGGTGCTCAGCAAATGTTCACTGTCATCACTGTCACCATTATGACCTCACCACCGTCACCAAAAACCATTATCATTGTCACTATCACCATCACCATCATCATTACCACTGTCACCATTATAACCCTCACCTCCATCACCATTAACAACATCACCATCATCATCACTATGACCACCACCTTCGTCACCATGAACATCACCATCAACATCATCACCACTATCGCCATCACCATTATAACCCTCACCATCATCACCACCATCACTATCTTCACCATCATCACCACTCTCATAATCACCATCTCTATCACCATCACAACCATCATCAACACCATCACCATAAACATTCTCACCATCTCCATCCCCACCATGATCATCACCACCATCACCATCAATGTCACCATCATCACCATCTCCACCAACGTCACCACTACTGTCATCATTACCTTCCACCCAAGTCACAGTATGGATGTTTCATAGCCTGTCCTCCAGGGAACGCGTGGTCTTCCTTGAGCCCACACCCTGCGTCAGGGTTAGACACAGAGAACCCAGGGCAGATGGACTGGTCTCCGTGCCCTCTAAGGCCCTGTCCCACTTCCCCTAAGGCAGGAGTTCTCCCGGGAGCAGAATCCAGTCCCCCTGGTCACCTGGCTGGGTGGTAGCCTGTGAGGACCTTGGGGGACAGTACTGTGGGCTCTGTGCCTCACCTTCAAAGCTCCTGTGTGTACTTGTCCCTCTCTGGGGCCTCCAGGGCAATTAGCCCTTTGAGCTGCTGACAAGAAGCTTAGATGGCTCACACATAAGACCAGGTGGACACCAAAACTACCTCAGGGTTTTTATAAGCCACTCAGTTCTGAGATGGTTCTGACACCAAGTCCACCATTCCATTTCACGTCCAGTGAAGCAGTGGGGAGCCCCTGAATGGGGCCAGAGCAGGAACCCCCTGGATCCCTATGCCTGTGCCCGCTCAGCCGTAGGAGGGTTAATTTTCTCAATTACCAAAAGCCGGTACCAGGTGTCACCCCAGAGCTGGCCCCATAGTCAGCGTGAGCTCCCTATCCTCATGGGCAGTCTTCTCGTTGGGAGACAGTCAGCGTACGTACCCAGGTAAAGGAACACCAGAGCCCCAGATTCCGTGAGCCTCAGGGAGAGGCCGGGCCTTGCGGTGGAGGTCACTTTAGATGAAGTGCTCTTGTTGGGCAGGAGCGGTGTGTGCCCTGTGACCTCAGGGCCCGGTGGGACGGTGCACTGATAACCTGTCCTCGCGCCCCACAGGGGAGCTCCTGGATGGGCAGAGGGGCCTGGTGCCCTCCAACTTTGTGGATTTCATCCAGGACAACGAGTCTCGGTTGGCAAGCACTCTGGGGACCGAGCAGGATCAGAACTTCATCAACCACTCGGGCCTCGGCCTGGGGAGCGAGAACATCCTCGACCTCCACTCCCCGACTCGCACAGACCCGGGCATTACCGATGAYGGCGGGGGGACGCTGGATGTGAACATCGATGACATTGGAGAAGACATCGTGCCTTACCCTAGAAAAATCACCCTTATCAAACAGCTTGCCAAAAGTGTCATTGTGGGCTGGGAGCCCCCGGCTGTGCCGCCGGGCTGGGGGACCGTGAGCAGCTACAATGTCCTGGTGGACAAGGAGACGCGGGTGAGCCTGGCCCTGGGCAGCAGAACCAAGGCCCTCATTGAGAAGCTCAACACGGCCGCCTGCACCTACCGCATCTCCGTGCAGTGCGTCACGAGCAGGGGCAGCTCGGATGAGCTGCGGTGCACGCTGCTGGTGGGCAAGGACGTGGCCGTGGCCCCCTCCCACCTGCGCGTGGACAACATTACGCAGATCTCAGCCCGGCTCTCCTGGCTGCCCACCAACAGCAACTACAGCCATGTTATCTTCCTTAACGAGGAGGAGTTCGACGTTGTCAAGGCCGCGCGGTACAAGTACCAGTTCCTCAACCTGAGGCCCAACATGGCTTACAAGGTGAAGGTCCTCGCCAAGCCCCACCAGATGCCCTGGCAGCTGCCGCTGGAGCAGAGGGAAAAGAAGGAGGCCTTTGTGGAGTTCTCCACGCTGCCCGCAGGTGAGCCTGCGTCCTGCCTGGCCCCAGGGAGGGGGGCACAACGGGAGGGAGCCGGGCCATCCATGTGGCCTCCAAGGCTCGAGGTCAGCATGAGGGCACAGTGCCGGCCTGTGCTGATCCAGAGAGGGGACTCAGGGTGGCTTTATGGCCAGCCAGGGACTGCTTCCTCGGCACTGGAGCCAGAGGCTGGTCCTGTGACAGGAGGAGGCTGGGTGTCTTGCCCCTCCACGGGTGTCCACTCCCAGGCCATTGAGGGAGGGCCTGCTCCTGTCCCCCTCGCTCCTTCTTGTCTCCCGGTCATGGGTAAGCACGTGCTGATGGGCTGCAGTGACGTGAAGGTTGTCACAGAAGCCACCTGGGTCCTGGCCCAGCTGCGAGGCAAGGCTGTTAGCACCTGTGCCTGTGGGCTGTGGACAGGGAGCTGGCCAGGGCCCTTTGTCCCCCCGCACCTGGGGAAATCCAGAGGCAACATCAGCTGGAGGGCTCCTTCCTATGGACAGGACCCAGTGACCCCCAGTGCCTGGGCAGCGAGCTGGCTGGTGTGACAGTCACACAGGAGACCTCCCTGTGGGGGCCGGGGCCGTTTCCACGTGCGCRCCGGGGCCAGGTCTGCCTGAGGCTTTCTGCTGGGCGCTGTCCACGAAGTCCTTGCTTGAGCAGTCGGAAGGGTTCTCAGCCTCATCTGTGAACGTGGATTCCTCCGTGTTCTCCAGCGTGACCTTTGCCAGCACCTGGCCTCTTAAGCCTCATGTCATGCAGGACTGGCCTCGATGCAGGGGGCTGGCTGTGCAGTCCTGTGTGCCCTATGGGGCAGACCCTCAGGAATTGCCCACCCACAGGGCAGCAACTGGCAGAAGGTGGGCGGCACTGCCAAGGGAGGGCCTGTCCAAGAGGCTCTGATGGACGGACAAGGTCAGCACATCACACTCCGCAGTGAGCTCTGGTTTCCTACCTGGTGGCCAGGGTCTGAATAGTGGGGACCCTAGGACATCTCATGGTCAGTGCTGGGGTGAAGGATTGGGAAACACCAAACACTGGCCCCCTGGCCTATTCGGGAGAGCTAGAGAGAGTATCCCAGGGAAGGAACCTGGGGTGGGGAGGTGGGGTAGCAGGTGTGGCCCCAGGGTCAGCTCCCGAGGACTGGAGAAGGTCTCAGGTGGTCAGCCGGAGGCCTCTCAGTGTCTGGGGAAGAGGGTAGCTGGGACACTGATGGAGGTCATGTTCTCAGAATTCATTCTTAAACCACAGTCCTTGTCCACCTAAGTGCCGGTGTGGGCACGGTCAGCATGCCATGCCAGGGGTGCTGGCGTGGGGTTTGTACCATGGGCCCTCCTGTAGCGCAGCCGGCAGGGGACACGCTTCATTGAAGTCAGGCATTGGCTCACATGACACATGACGCAGGCTGGGACCCGCCATCTGCCTCCACCAGCTGAGACCAGGACAGCCTGTGGTGTAGAGTCCAGTCCAGGTCTGAGGCCCGAGGGCCAGGAGCACCCAGGCAGGGTGGAGGCAAGCTCACCCCCTCTACCTCTGCCCACACTGTCCATGGTGGCTGGGCGAGGCCACCCTCACAGGGGCCACCTGCTTCTGAGTCACTGACCTGCAGGAACAAGGTCACCAGCTCACTGGGCCCCTAATGGCCCAGCACCTTACAGCTAGTGTCCACCTTCTCAGGCCCTCACCAGCCCTGATTGGTGGGCCTTTCTGAGTGACAGTTGCACTGTCCAGTGTGTAATCACAGCCGCATGTGGCCCTGAGCACTTGAAAGGACTCAAACTTTAAATCTCATCTAAATTCTAATAAACGAGAGCGCCAGGTGCAGCTCGAGCTACCGCACTATACCACAGCTCAAGGTCACAGCAAGATTGCGCAGGGAGCTTGAAGGTTGAGGTCATGGCACAACTTGAGCAGGGAGCTTGGAGGTCAAAGTCATGGCATGATTGAGCAGGGAGCTTGGGGGTCAAGGTTAGGGCACAACTTGGAGGTCTGGTGCTGATGGTGAGGACAGTGGGAAGAGAGTCTAAAAGGTGAGCACAGAATGTGCTGCAGAGGTTGGGCTCGAGCTGTGTGACTCTGAGCCTGTGCTTTACCTCTCTGTGCAGCAGGACCCACTCTGTAAAGCAGGGGCAACAGTAGTAACAACCTCATTGGTGTTCTTACTGAGAAGGGAGGTAATTCCTTGAACTGGACAGGGTTAGCTCCAAAAGTRGGATTCAGGGTTTCTAGGAGTTATTTTGGGGAGAGAGTTCTGCTTATTTTGTTTAGACACGAAAGACACTTTGCTGCGATGTCCTGAGCTGGGTCCCGAGTGCCTGTGGGTACCAAAAAAATAACTGAGGTGGGTGTGGGTGTCCAGGGCAGGCACGGGGCTCGTGTGCTGGTGCACAGGGCAGGGCCTTCCTTTTCTGCCAGCTCTTCTTCCACTTGCTCGAGTGTGCCCTGCTATATGCACACACCCTTGAGGAGATGGCATGGAGTCCACTCATCCCAAGCAGACTGTTCCCTTTAGCCCACCTAGGAGGTCAGAAGGGATCAGAAGATCCAACCTGCCCACACCATGAAACCTGACCAGGCGCGGGCAGAAGCCCTGGCTGAGGGTGGAGTTAAGAAAGGCCCCCGTCCCCTCCTCGGGGGAGAGGGAAGAGGATGGGCTGGCTCCAGGACTGAGCCCTGCTAGGCCTYGGGATGTGCTATCCAGGTCTCTCTGTGGTGCTGGGGATGGAACCACACAGACTCTCTTCCTTCATCCCTTGAGAGTGCTCTTCCACYGCTGTTGGCCCGCATTGTCTCCACGCTCAGTCAGCCGTCCTTCCTGTCAACCCTTCTTGATACTTTTAAGATTTCTTTTATCTTTTTTATTCTGATGTGCTCATGCTTTTATTTTATCTATCTTTCTAAAAAAAATTAAGGTAGATTCCTGGGCCTCCAGTAATAGTTTTCTTCAAAGTTTGAACATATTTGCATATTCTCCTTCCTCTCTCTCCTCATTTTGAAACTCTGCTGCACACAAGGCAGAGGGTCTGAAGGGAACTACAGGTCTGTAGACCCCTGATATTCACCACTGCATTTCCTCATTGTGTCGCAGTTAGGATGATTTGTTTTCTCTGTCTTCCAGGTTTTGGAGTCCTTCCTTTGCAGTATTCAATCTGCGACTGTGAAGACCATCAAATGAGTTTTTCATCTGTTTGTTTAGCTTCTTTATCTTTCTGGGATTTTCATTTGGTTCTTTTTTAGTTTTCTTCTTGCTCTTGGATTCTCTGTTTCTTTATATCCTTTAACCTATTTGCAATGATTATTTTAAAGAATTTGCTAATTGCAATTTCAGAGTCATCATAGGCTAACTTCTGCTGACTTTTTTTTTTTTTTTTTTTTTTTGGTACCAAGGATTGAACCCAGGAGTGCTTAATCAGAGACCCACATTCCTAGCCCATTTTAGGATTTTTTATTTTGAGACAGGGTCTCACAAATTTGCTTAGGGTCTTGCTAAGTTTTGCTGAGACTGATTTTAAACTTGGGATACTCCCGCCTCAGCTTCCTGAGACACTGGGATTACAGGTTTCCATCACCACGCCCAGAAGGACTATTTTTTCTCTTGATTATGCATCCCATTTTCCTATTTCTTTGCTGGCTAGTCATTTTTGTTATGAATGGGACGTGGTCAGTTACACATTATAGAGACCCTGGATTCTGTAATTTTTCTGCTGAAGTTGGGATTTGTTCTGGCAGACAGTGAAATTACTTGTGGCATATCTAGGCCCTATGAATGCTTGTTTTAGGCTTTATTGGGGAATTTGTCTTTCCTTTATGCCCTTTGACTGTGGCCCTTAGTCCAGTGGCATGATCCTAACTTGTAAGGTGTGACGTTTATGGGGCTCCAATGGGGAGTCCAGTCTTCTCTACGTTCACAGGACTTGGACTCCACTTTGTTCCTGAGAAGCAGTTGAACTTTGCTCTGCTGTTTGACTTGAGAGTCACTGTCTTTCTGTTTCCTGGAGTCTTGTCTTCCTTACGTGTATACTTTAGGAGTCAAATACTAATTTGAGCGGATGGGGGTGAGAATTTAGGTTTCATCCTTCATTGGGTGTCTCCATTCTCCGGGGATTTCTCTGAGGTTCCCGTCTTCTCAGTCACCCCTGGGGGCTCCCTTTTAACTCTGCAGTCCAGTAAGGCTCTCTGCTTGGGTTCCGTCTCTCTACTAATTACCTGGCCAGTGCTCTCAGGAAAAGGGCCAGTTAGCAGGCGGTTGCCTCATGCATTCCCCCCTCTAAGGGTCAGTTCACATAGCCTCTCCCGTCTTTCTTGCATAGGGCAAGGAACACTGGACACGTTTGTGAGAGATTCTGAGATGCCCTGGGGTTCTCTCTCCACTGAGCTGCTTTCCATTAACAGGACCCTTGGTGCTTCTCCACTGTGAACACCACCACGTCAGGTGGACATATGTTGGGGAGTTTGGGGAATGCTGTGTCCTGTGTGTCTCGAGCCCTGCCAAGGGCTCATGCAGGTGGACTGGCAACCCAGAGATCTGTCCCACACTGAGGGGTCCCTTGACATTGTGGGGAGGGGAGACAGACTTGCACTGAAGGATCATGGAGCAGACAGAGCTTAGCAGGGATCAGTCATCCCCCTAGACAGGGGACAGCCTCGGCCTCAGTGAGTCTCACAGTTGGCTAGTTAGAAAGATCCACTGATCTACAGCCATCAAAATAAGTGGTCTGACTAAAAGGATTATTCCTTCTGGAAAGTTCTCCCTCTTGTGATTTGAGTCCTCAAATCAGAACACATGAGAAAGCATGGCCAGTGTGTCGGCAGCACTAACTGAGCCAGTGACCAGTGGATATGCTTCACATGCGATGGACTCAGACCAATTCACAAGGTTGGTTGTATTGATGGGGACACGTGCCTGACTCTCAGAGGCTTGTGATGGCAGGGGTGACTGCTCCTCCCATCGAAGTCTAAGGCAGGGCCTCCTGTCCCTCTTGCCTGGTGGCCCAGGGCTCAGGCATGGCTACTGTGGCTCTGACATCCCCTAAGTTGCTCCTGGAGTCCTTCCCACTGCAGTGAGCAGACAGGGAGAGAGGATGAGAGTCACGTGGGGAGGGTGCTCGTGGTGGGCAGGCTGGTCACTTCTGCCCACGTTCCAATGGCCACAAATGGCTGCCTGACTCAGAGCAAAGCAATGACAATGGTGTCTTGGTGAACATGACATCCTGGCCACATAGGTGCTCTCTGATGTCCATGTCCCAGGTCAGGGAGGTGAAGAGGGGAAGGCTAGGAAGTTGTCCACGGTTACGGCAGTTGCTGTCCACGGTTATTCCACTGACTGGCAGGTCTGGGGTAGCCTCCAGCCTCAGCCTCCAGCCTCCGGCTTGCTTCTTCTAGGGGTACGAGTGGCCATGGGTCGCGGCCTGCCAGGCCACGTCTGTGCCCAGCAGGAAGCAGGGGCCGCTGGAGTGGGAGGGCACATCCTGCAGGCCCTGTCCTGTGCTCGCCTTCTCTGGCAGACCCCTGTCTCCTGAGCCGTTCCAGGAGGAGTGAGCCTCCATTTCCGATTGCAAGGAGGTTCTGGGGACCTCCATCCTGGCAGAGTCACGTGCATCTTACGCACAGGCCACAGGCCAGCGCTGGGAGGAGGATCCCACGTCAGCACTTGATGCCCATGGGATGTCCTGTGGCACTTCCTGAGCCCTGACCTCCTTACGTGCAGAAATCATAGGCCGGCTGCGAGGATCGGCAGATGTGAGGCGTGTCGAGTGAATAGGGGACGGTRGCAGACACTGTCCCCAGGAGGTGGCCAGCGCTCTCCTCCCCAGGAGCCCCTAGCTGGGGTCCCATGAGCCAGGCCTCACAGCCTCACAGGCCCCAAGATCACAGCACTCCTTCCACACTTAAGCCACCTACGCCGTCCAGCAGGCATAGAGGTGTCATAGGGCAGGGCCGGCTGCCTGCCATCACTGGGGCCACATGGCCACATGGCCACAGCTGACCAGTTGCCCAGTTTGGTGGTCAGGACACCTCTGGCAAGGCAGATGAGTGCAGCTCACATATGTGGGCACAAGGAGGCCTGTCAGCCTGGCCGCTGGGGACTCTGTGGAGCTGGACTCAGGCAGACCACTCCCTAGACCTAGGGCTCTCCGTCTTGCCCACTTCAGTGGTGGGAGGAGGGTGATGTGAGGGCTGAGCTGGTGCCTCTGAGTCTGATGGGGAGGGGGGAGTGAGGGAGAGAGAGGAGGAGAGAGGAGGAGAGAGAAAGAGAGGAGGAGAGAGAGGGAAAGAGAGGGAGGAGAAAGAGGGAG